CATCAACGGTCGTCATCCACTACCACTTCATCTACGGGTCTTAACAAAAACAACATCTGGAGCAAGAAGAAATGATTCAAAGCGGCACAGCATATTGAACAATGCAAGACATTGCGTTAACAAAATGGCCTCAAAACCACTCAAACCGCCACAACAGGGGTTTAAATTAAACGCCCTTTGTTTCAAAAGCTTGAGGCGCGGCTCAAGTCATGAATACATGACTCAGCCATTGTCCACCAATTTGCATACTTCAATCGAGAGACACGCTAGAATCGATCATTGTCACGATTGGATGGCATTAGAGCGCCTGATGGCAGCTGATACTCCTTTCATATTGGCATGGCCTCAGCCTTTGTCGCAAACTGACCAACGTAGGTATCCCTATGGGTATTCAGTTGAATCCTTCAGTTCAGGATGAATAGGCAAATGGGCCCAGTATGCGCTTGCTATAAGTAAAGGAAGCAATGTATGCAGTGTAAGTAACTCTTGACGAGTAGCTTTCTCAGTCTTTCCTGCGACTATGATGCAGCACACAAGTCCATGGAAGAGACGAAGTCTCATTTCCCTCATTTCTATATTGGGTTTCCTGACATGCCCAGCCTTCGGGGAACCAGTCTGCAAAGCTTCTTCCTTCCAGAATCTGGAGCTGCCAGGCGGTAAAATTCTCGACATTTCTACAAAAGCACACACGAACCTATCATTCCAAGCTCCCGCGGAGCAAAACCATTACGCCACTGCCGTGACCGATCTGAACGCTTGTGAAGTGATCATCACGTACACGCATCCCGGCTCTAATGACACTATCCACACGGTCGTTTGGCTACCCTCGCCTGAGAAGTGGACAGGAAGACTCTTGGGCGCCGGTGGTGGAGGATGGGCTGCGGGACCCGAAACCAACACCACACTCCCATGGGCGGCCAGCGAGGGTTTCGTTACAGTCGCGACAGACGGAGGTCACATCGGGCAGGATATCAGCTGGTCGCTTACTAACTCTGGCAAAGTCGACTGGGTGTTGCTAGAAGACCTTGCCTCGATCTCTTTAGATGATGCCGCGACGCTGGGCAAGGCGGTCATTCATTCTTACTATGGCAAAGCACCGAGCTATAGCTATTGGAATGGATGTTCGCAGGGCGGAAGACAAGGTTACATGATGGCGCAGAAGTACCCCAATCAGTATGATGGTATCTTGGCGGTTGCACCGGCTATCTACTGGAACGAGTTAATGATGCAACTTTTCTGGCCGCAGGTTGTCATGAACGAGAATGGTCAGGACTCAAACAACTGCTAGAGATGAATGACTAACAGACAACAGGGTTTCCGACTCCGCAGGAATTTGAGGCTATCAACGTTGCTGTTGCCGAAGCCTGCGACGGTCTCGATGGTCTGGAGGACGGCATCATATTGGCACCTCAAGACTGCACCTTTGACCCAATGACCGTCGTTGGCAAACAATACCTCTGTCCCTCTACCAACCAAAGCATGACCATCACGAATACCCTAGCCAAGGTAGCAAAGTTGATATGGCAAGGCGCAACAACTCCCGAAAGCGATTTTCTGTGGTACCCCGGCAACATCGGGGCTTCATTCGTTGGCCTCGCATCAACAACATGCAGCAAGAACAATTCATGCGTCGGCGTACCGTTTGCCGTACCTCAAACCTGGATTACCGACTTTGTCATCCGCGACCGCGAATACGACACCGCACGAATGAACATCACATACTTCGAGCAACTTTTCCACGATGCTGTAGCCCGCTATGACTCTGTTATCGGAACCGCAAACACAGATCTTGACGGGTTTCGAAAAGCGGGTGGCAAGCTCCTTTCGTGGCATGGGCTGGCGGATATGGCTATCGCGCCTGATGCGACTGCGCACTATGCGCAGCAGGTGCATGAGCGTGATCCGAATTCCAGTGATTACTATCGCTACTTTGAGGCGCCTGGGGTGGATCACTGCGGGGGTGGGCTGGGTTGGTATCCTGGCGATAGTCTCAAGACCCTCATCGATTGGGTAGAGAAGGGTGCGGCACCTGAGGTGCTGGAAGCGGAGACTACGCAGGGTAGGAAGGCGCAGCTTTGCTTATGGCCCAAGCACATGGTATATGTTGGAGAAAATCCTGACGAGGCTGCCTCATTCGAGTGTCGATAAGCTGCATTTGTGGTCGCTACCAATGCTAGACCATTGTTCGTATGTTCGTACACATTCTTGTGAGATCGCTTTCAATACACTTTCAATTTATCCAGAGTAATGTAAGCTTCAGCTGACGGCGGGTCGACCAATCGGGCTTTCGTCTGACTGACTTCAGTGGGCGTAGCGTGGGGGCTGGATACTGGAACTGGTGTTCTGCGCCTCAAACCATCTAAAGCCTCGCCGAAACTTTTGCACTTGACAACTCGATGGTATCTCCATTCTCGATTGTTTTTCTCCTGTATCTGCAACTCATACAACCGCGGGTATTCCTCCCATTCGGCATTGACAGCACTTGGCTAACAGGAAGGCTTTCAGACATGCCACGAGATTGAGATAAGCTACAAAGATGGCAGAAGTCTGCGCAATTCTCGGCGGAGTGGGTTCGATATTCAGCATCGTGAACGGTATCAGTAAAGTCGTCGGTACCATCAGCGACCTTCAGACGAAGTGGGGCGAGGCTGATCTTACTTTGTTGAGTCTTGCGTCCCAGCTCATTGCTCTACGGGCTGCCTCGACAAAGATACAAGAATGGATAGATCAAGATCTCCAAGACACCCATCACCAACTTGTCATGGACCTGGACGTATCGGTATCCTGTTGCAAGTTACTGATGACCGAGATCGAGAGCTTCTTCTCCGACATTGCGCAACTAACGGAGAAACCACTCGATCTTCGCGACAAGTTCAAAGTTGTATTCGGAAGTTACGGGCCGGAAAGTGTACAGAAGCTCATCGAGCACCAAACGAGCTCACTGACTCTTTTGCTGACAGCTTGTAACTGGTGAGTATTACGCCGAACAGCAGCGTGACAATGTTGACTTAGATGTGTAGCAAAACTCTCTCTGAGCAGCAACGTATTCTCGGTACAAACAAGACTAGGAAAGTCCTGGATCGAGCAAAAGCAGACTCGATATCTCTCTATGTTCATCGTGACTCTGCATCTCTCACCAGCAAGATGACCGACAACATGTCAAAGATATCGCGTGTCTTCGAATTCGACTCGAACATCTTCTCTACGGGAGTCTACGAGCGGGCATTCCGGGGGTCAGTCAGAGATCTGCTAAAGCGACGGCAGCAAACCCTCAGATCTCACCCAATAGCTTCGTCGGCAGTAGAACCAACACCAACGCCCGGAAGCTTGCAGAGTATATGCTTCCTAGGACCTGACCAGATCGGCATGGATTTGTTGATTGACACCATTCAAACTGATCAACATCACCTTCACGACGAGTGGGCCTTACACCAGTGGGAGCTACGAAAGCTCTTCCTGAGCCTTGTAATCACTATCGTCAGGACTCGTTCAGACCACTGCGATGAAGAAGACGCCGGAATTGTCATGCGATTCATGCGAACTGAAGAGTACCTAGAGCGATACTCTGAGCTGCACTCGGTATCTCATAAGGCGCTAGGAGCTTGTACGCGGATTTGGAATGATGCAGTGCAATTGGCTCAAGACCCGCACGTCCGTAACGCTTATAGAGAGAGGGTTGAGTTCGGCAAGATGGTCTTTTGGGTTCAGATTATACCTGATCGTGGGTTGAGCGTTACCAGTGGCAACTATGCAGCTAGGTCGTACGTGATATTATACGCGCATGTGCAAGACCTCGGCTGACTATTTCTTAGCTTTGTTCACCGCATAGAAAGTGTCCTGCCAGTAAGCTCTTCCAATCCGTTTCAGGGCACAGCCCGGCTTGCGGATCTTCTCAGAGGGACAAGAATGGCTTTCGAGGACGTTGCTTTCCAGCTTCCAATTGGCTATGCTAGTTCAGTAAGAATAGTCGATCCGAATACACTCCGCCCGGGAGATGGAACTGCATACGTCTTCTTCGTGGACCTCCAAGACTACAACCTCGGCTTCGATCTTGAGAAAAGGGCCGCCGAACGTGTGCTCGCGTCGGCAAGCTTACTGACAGCCCATCAGCAGCCGGTGATTGGTCTTGTGTTAAGACATTCTGGCAGGGCTATACAACAAATGGTGACTTCAGACTCCTTGGCTCAAGTCGGGAGAACGACAAACGCTGCTGCTAAAGCGATATCGCACATCACAATGGTCTTCAAAAGCCATCTCAGAATGGAAGATTGGGACTTTTCATTCATCTTCAATGAAACTAAAGACGTGCATTCGGCCGACACACTTGCTCGTCTGGAGAGTATCATAAGAGGCATGACGATGCGTACAAGAACCTCTCACGTGTAGCGGACTTAATTACTCGCATAGAAACTGAGGGAAGATGCGTTGAGCATATCTGATAATCCCAATCCTTGACTTTGAAGACTTGTTCGTGAAGAGCAGACATGTGTCAATCTTAGTTGTTACGAGATTCTCTCAGACTTCCCCAAGTGGTAGCCCAACAAAGCTATCTGCAGTGGACGGTAATCTTCGAAAATTGACCTTTCCAGTATTCGAAACAGGCCTGTGATAGTGACACATTTCTTCCATTTCGGAATACAGTCTACGTACGACCCTAACATAAGGAGATCTAGGTATCTACATCAGCTTCGTCATGCGGCATAAACCTACGAACGCCCCCGCTATTAATTTGTATTATGATTTTCGTGTCCTCTCCTTCAACAGGTTTCAGGTCTGCAACATACTTGCGGAACAAAGTTGGTAGCGTTTCCCATCGATTCCCGTCAGCATCCTCCGCACGGCCAAAGTTGCGCATGCTGATTGTCAAGTCAGTGAAAACCTTCATCCCCATGATACGAGTAATTCCAGCGGCGCTGTGCAGCAGAGGATTTGGGAGACGGAGCTTTCTGCAGGCGAGGTGTTAGGTTTGTTACAGGGGTGGGGACTCCGAAATCATGGGCTTACTTTGCATAGTGATCGAGAACCGTTTTGCATTCCGCATTCTCACGCTTTCTGCGTAGCTCGTCCAGGTAATCGGTTATGATTTCGGCGGCTTCGTGAATGGGAAGACTATGCACTCCAGTCACATCTTTGGGGATCGGCCCAGGAGCCTGACTCTGCTTGTGGTAACCACGTTCGTAGAACAGTAAGTTGATAGGTATTGTTCCTTTCTTTTGCCAGTTCATCCATAGCTTTGAGCGAACATTTGGCTGCGCCATTGTCGAATCCAGAGCTGCAAATATCTTCTTGTTGATCTCAGAGCAGTGAGATTGTACGGTGTCGAGAGGAAAGAGGAGCGCTGGCAACTCGCGCTGTAGAAGCACGCGGAACATGATAAGAGGCCCGGCTGCCCAAGCCCCCTTGATGATTTTGGGATCTAATGTGTCGCTAGCATACGTCTCAGCTTCCTGCATTAGAAGCTCCGAGATGGCTTGATTTGTAATATTGAGAAACGTAGTTTTGCTAGGCCCGCCGTCCGAGAAGATGAGGTTGGTGAGTGGAGTGCTGATGGCGCTTATTTGACCACTGTCGTAGGCCCTTGTTCCCTTCTTGACACGACCAGCGTCACGTGCAAGATCGCTCGCCTTCATTCCATGTGCACGAAGCAGGCGTTGAATACACATGTCAAGTGCAATCGGTCTGTTGCCCTTAAAGAAATTGGACTCGCCAAGTAAATCAATCGCTGCCTCCATGTCTTCCCACTCTCTCGTGAGTAGTTTTTCAGACGAGTCTGCATTATTCGCACTATGTGCTTGCCGAAGGAAGTTGAAGAGATGCGCATATCCAAGTACTAGTCCATCCGTGTTCTGCGTAAGAAGCGAGAGATCACAAGTGGCATGCACAGCCACGAATAGAATGAGTCCAGCAAGGAAGGGATTCATGGTGATGAAATCGTAGCAATTGCGATTGTAGAGTGAATGCGGCATCACTTCCCAATGTTCTTCTTTCTTCGCACTCTCTGCGCGAGCGACCCAAATTGGATCAGAACTCAACCAGCTGAGTCTTCTCTCCGCAACAAGAGGATCGCGGAAGAAGGATGTCAGCATTGCGCGCTCCCTTTTACCTTGAATAAAGGGCGCTTTCAGCAATCTGTGTACGCGTCCTTCTCTGCGGACGTACTTCCACAGGTCATGGTAATCTTTTCGGACTTGTGCTGGCGTCTCCTCTGCTGGCGTCTCCTCTGCCGGTGTCTCTTGCGATAGTGTCTCTTGCGATGGTGACTCCTGCGATGGTGACTCTTGCGATGGCGACTCTAATGGAGTAAGAATATCCTGTACAGCAAGGTAGAGATCGGTGTACAGCATCATCTCGATGGAGATGTCTTTTGCATACCGATGGTGTGGAACATCCTTGCCATCATCGGAGATGCCTCGCTTCAGGTGCGTATACCATGCTTTCGTAAAGTTATCCATGGCTGGCGGTTCTATATGAACTCCTATGATCATCCATACGATGTCATCGAGAGCGTTTGTGAGAACTTGCAACCTGGGGTTAGTGACACAATCAAAATCAAATTCCCCCGTCTCGACACGGGGTAATATCCAGACATGTCGTTGCCGAAAAATGGTGGCTTTATAGTAGACTTGAAGTAGTCTCCACATATCAACGAAAGTTTTTAGACACCCATAGTTGAGTAAGCGATTTGGTAGCCTGGCATGGCAGAGGAACTCGTCTACTTCCTCACCGGAAGTTTGTAATATCGCGCGATTTTCGTCCGTTTCTCTGCTAATGTTGTTGCGGATCTTGGGGTCATCAAGAAACTTATGCCAGAAGTCCTCAGCGTCCACTATCTCGGGGAACGAGTTCGAGAAGTCATTTACCAAGCTCTTTGTCATCTGCATAGCCGCTTGGGTTGTTGCCGCCGCCGAAACTAGGTCGACATCGTCATTCTGGCGGTAATGATCCCAGGTTGCTGTGACAATAGTCTTGATCTGATTGTAGTCCCTTATCAACATGCTCATGGCGATGAAACGATCTTCCTTTTGGTTATCGACAGTATATGTCGTCTTCGAAGTTGGCGCTGGTCTGGCAGTGGTGGTCGTCTGTCCACCACTTTCAGGCTCTTGTTCTGCCAATTCCTCGATGTCGAGATTGCTGAATCTTGTGCTGAGGCCATCAATGGGGGTCTGCGTAGTAGGTTCACCAGGCTTAGGCGTCGCTTTGCCAGTAGTGATGAAAGGCTTCAGCAGATCAAGCACATATCCCAAAGCTCCCGTAAAAGTAGCGTGCGCCTCATTACTCGCAGCGAAAGCAGGCTTTAGATCTTCATCAACATTTTGAGTCTGAGTTTCGTGCCACAGTGTCGACTTGGTACGGTGGCGGATCGCTCGAGCTGCTGCTCTGCTGGCGTAGAGTGGCACCACGAACTTCTTAGGAGGTTTCTCTGCTATGGCACTGGCGCATGTTTTCAAATCATTAATGGTAATTCTGCGCGCTTGCGAAGACTTGGCTTTGGGGGCTTTGGGTTCAGCCGCGCGCGCTTTCCCCTTGAGTCGGCCACCAGCTGTAGCGGGAGCTGGCGCAGTGGTAGAAGGGATGAAGCCACAGCGACTAGCCGTTTCAACAAGCCACGTAACGAAGATCTCGGTATCAGCTTTATATTCTCGGTAGCTGTTGGCGATGTTGTCCGGAAGCATTTTCGGCGCGTCTGTCGGTGTATCGACGCAGTGTAATGTCGCGTCGCCCTCGCGAGCACTCGTGAACACCTGGGCAGGTGTCTTATCGTTATCGTCACGTGCGCTAACGCCGTGCTACCCGAGAACCCCCTGCAAACATCGTCATAACTCCTCTCATGATCTTCGATGCGCCATTCAGCCACATCACACAGCAGCTATGACAAGCTTGCTGTTACTTCCCAACGAGCTCACACAGCATATCGCATCTTTTCTGCCCTGCTCCTCAGCCCTCAATCTTTCAAGAACCAACCGACAATTGCGAACGATCTGCAATGACAAAATAGTATTCCGCAACATTGCAAAGTACAACTTAGGACAGCCTCTGCTCTCCGAAAATGGCATAGAACTATCGGAAACCCATTGGGCGGAAGCCGACTCCGTCTTAGCCGAAACCTCTCTCGAAGAGACGATCCGCATAGCATACGCAGCCGAGAGATGTATCGAAGCTCTACTCGAGAGTGGCGACACATGGACCCTACGCAAAGCCAAAGGAATCAATTCATATGAACTGAGTAGATGGCTACCGCACATCATGGCTATGCACCACCCTGTAGCTGCACAGCTCAAGCCCGAAACCTTCCTGGAGCTTCAAGGCCGCTTACAGGTTCACTTCCAATCAGATGAATTCTCACCCAATCTCCTCGATGTCAACTTCATCCTCAGCTACACTATCTTGAAGCAATTGCAAATTACGGGAAACGGGAAGCAAGTCAAGGCACCCTTTGACCGCTTCTTCTCCGTGAACCACATAAAGGATCCACCAATAGTGGCAAGTAACGGCGTGAGATTGGATGGAGATTCGATCAAGAGCCTTCGGCAGCGAGTGCGAGACTATGGTGCCTTCCGCAAGAGACATATGGATGGATTCGGATTGGATCAAGCTACGACTCTGCTCCCCACTTTCATTCTGGAACTGGCTGTACATGGTTCAAATCCATTGCACGATAACGCACTCCCGTCACCTACCAAAATACCCTTTAACTCATTCATGGACTTCTTGCCGACCATCTTCGCCAAAAATCCAGCACCTGATTGGGAAGATGAAGATGACAACATACCTTTTGGCGAGTGCCACACTCAAATGCTCTCACCCGACTTCCTTTCCTCCGGGCGGTGGACGGGTTACTACTCAGACCAGCGAAGAGCCTTGGGAAGAAGACGCTTCGAACCACGTATGCACAGTATACAACTTGTTGCACGGGACACCACTGAACCAAGGTGGGATGTCGGCGGCTACACCACGTATACGATTATCGATTCGCAGAGTCGAGGGACTGACTCTCTAGGAGATTTCTCCCTGGAAGGCCGCGTGCGACACAACGATGGAGATATTTCCTTGACGAAACGATATCTTTCAAAAGACGTGTCATGTGAGTGGGAAGCTCGAATGACACCGTTTGGTATGGTGGGTGCCTGGGGCACTGGACGAGGTCTTGATACGAGATTTGGGGGGTATTTTTGGATATGGAAGGAGGAATGGCAAGAACTGTAATAAACATGTTAGCTCCATACTAGATACAATAGCTTCACGGCCGAACACACTATGGTGCTGTATAACCCGTACTTGAGCATGTTTCCCCGTCATACATCGCTGAGGTAGCACAGCCAGGTCACTTTCAAGCGATACAAGAAAGAATCGCGATTGGAAAAGTTGGCCTCTTACTTTGCGTTTCTCTCTCAACGTCAGCATTTCATCAACCCAACTAGACATTAGCCCTCGCATTCACCGCATTGAGACCCATCGATCAAGAAGGTAAGAGAAACAAGACGACTCCGCCGCAAAAGCCAGTCACAGCGGCCAGACCAGCACATCACCCGAAACAAAACGAACAGCCAGAACATTAGCATCACGCAAACCTACACCACAAATCAGAGCAACAAACAAGCTTTGACGATATCCATTCCATTGACCAGGAGAAAATGCATTATCTCCCAGAACGTTACGACACGCATACGTGTCTATCCGACCTCCATAATAAGGCGTGACACTGTACCGCATCGATCTCAGTATACCCGTGAACATCATCACCTCTTCCCTAGACATCCATACCCATGCATACCCTCCCTCCCCATGATTCCTTGAAACACACGACCAAAAACGCCAATGTCACCCTCGCAATGCCACACCACAACGATCTACGACGTATCCATAGCCTCGCCCGCTCCCGCACCAGCCTCCGCCGCGGCCTTACTCCGCTCCGCCATCTTCTCCGCCAACAAATTAGCCTTCCAACTCTGAATCTCCTCCCTGAGCTCATCATTCGGAATAACATCCTCAATCTTAAGCGGCGTCCGATTAAACGGGTCATGCGGGTCACTCAGGAGATGCGCCTGGATGGTACCCCTATCAACAATCTGTTTGCTGACAGGAAGCGTAACGGGGTCTTCCATGAGCGACGCCAAAATAGGATCGAGGTACTGGTCTGGAATCTCTCCGAGGTCAGCTTCGACCATGTCCGCTTGTTCTTTAGCAGTCTTGATACGCTCGGACATGTTTTCCCATTGTGTCATTTGCTCGGGTGTTTTGAGTTTGAAGCGTTGGAGGATCTTGTAGGCTTCGTCCATGTATTCGGGGCGGTAGGAGCGGCCGTCTGTGGCGACGGCGTCGATGAAGGATTGTTTGGACTCGAGGTTGAGGTAGACGTCTGTGACTTCTGCGAGCATGTTGCGTGGGTTCCAGCCGTATTCTTCGGGGTTTTCGACTTTGAGTTGGGATTTCTTGGGGCCGACGAGGGCTTCGAGGTTGTAGTCTAACATGTGGGCTAGGCGCACGACGACTTCCTTTTTGGTGAAGGAGTCGGCGAGGGCTTCGGTGAAGAGCTTCAACATGGCGACGGTTTCGTTGGTGAGTTGCATGTAGCTCTTGGCTTTGCCCTGAGCTGACGACAGCTTTTCTTCCCTCTCTTGACGCTCGGTCTGCTCCATGTTTGCCGGGGCATTCTTGAGCTCTCGGGATAGATCGTGGATTTCCTTGAAAGCGGTGAATGACTCGTCCAGGACGAATGTCACATCGTTCAGAAGCAAGTTGACGAACTGAACGAAGAAGTCCAAGTTGACGCGCGCTTCAGTCGCAAGATGCTCGCGATACACTGGGTTCGGCCAGATGCACTTGATGACCTGGAAGATCTCGTATCGAATGTTGAACTTGTCAAAGAACTGCGTATGTGTTCCGGTGCTCTCACATTCGATGTAGAACTTCATCAGTGCGTGGAGCAAGTGCTTCATGGCGAAGTCGTGTGCAAATAGCGTGTCGCCAAGCACGCCCTTTGGCTTACCGTGAATTTCCCATACTCCGTGGAACAGAATGGTGACAAGACCAGACTTTAAGTATGGGTTCTTGATGTACTCTGAGCTTCTCAGGAAGGTAATGCAGATCTTGACAATTTCCTCGCACTGAGTGGTTGTGATAATATGCGGCATGTAGCGAGTGATGAACTTGAAGTTTCCAACAATGTCTTCAACGAAATATTCAGGTAGACACCTAAACTGCAGTGGTTGCTCTTCGGGTAGAGGCAGCTGAAGCTCTGATTTAGGAAAGTTGGTACCGGGCGAAGCAAGCCGTAGAAGCCACACAATGACGTATCTCATCAGTTGCATAGACCGAGCTTGTGTAGTCTCATCAAGCAAGACACCTTGAATGGCCAAGATGCTACACTTGGCCTTCTCGATCTGGTCTTTCATCTTCTTGATGTGGTTGTCAAAGACGGCCAGCTGCGCCTGACTAGTCATGTACTTGGGTCGCTCGGGCTCGAGCTTAGCAAGCTCCTTCTCAAGGTACTTGACGTCCTTTTGAAGGGTACCCAATTTGGTATTGGCTGCCTCCAGACCATAGTGATGAGCGGCCACCGTCAAGAAGAAGACCTCGCTGATGAAGTTGTTGGTACCTGAGGCTTTGGTACTGTAGAACTCGTCCGATGCATTCTGGTCGGCATTGATCTTTGTTTCATCTTGGATATCAACGCGGGGTGATCGGCGAAGGTAGTCAATGTCGATGCGATCGATCTTGGAAAAGGTAGCATCCATGAAAGGCTCACAGAGACGATCTAAAATCACTGTGACATTGACCATGAAGCCGTCTGATGATACTGTCTTCCTGTCCACTTGTATCGCACGCCTCTTGTGGTTCTTATTGACTGTGAGCGCTAACCAGTCTAGCATCTTCTCACGAGATTCCTTGTTCTTGATGAAGGTGTTTGTAATGTCCAGCAGTTCTTCTTGGTGGGTTTGAAGTGTCATGCGGACAGCTCGTTGCGCGTTGACAATGAGTCCCTTGTCGACAGCCGCGGAGCCAGAGAAGTAGTTCATGGCTACGTCAGCCTGCATAGGAGATAGACGGAAGAAGGGCCCTAAGAAGCTATGTGTTTCGATATGTTGAGCCTCGATGTGAGCAGGCAGAAACGTCTCAGACTGTGCGATGGCAGCTACGAGCGGCGGAAATCGGACGAATACCCGCAGGATCAACATGTGTGCCTTGTAGTCTCCGTTCATAGAAACCTTGGAGAGGCGTCGGCTGACATCCACCATAGCTTCCACAAGTGTGTCCTTGATGATATCGTCTTCGCCTATCCGCTGGCTCGCTTCAGTGAGGAACTCGTAGCAGATGCCGCGCTCGTCGTCAGGTCCGAGAAGTAAGCGATCAGCCAGTGCGTTCTCCGCGGGTGGGTCTTCCTGGAACATTTCTGGCATGCTAGCTGCAAAGATGCAATAGCTGAAGCACACTCGCCGGGCCTCTTTGACAACTTCGAACCGTGGACCAGTCTTATTGGCGAGGTTCTTGAGTGCTTTGGAAACGCGCTTCCAGCAACTCATCGTGTATTCCAACGCATAGCCCTGATGCTTTTCTGACGCTGCTTCCATTATGACGGAATCCAGTTGATCTGTAGTCAAGCGGATTGGCCTGCCCTGTTCCTCAAGATCGCGTCTGGCGCTTTCGGCAAAGTGTAGCTTATGTCCATGTGCATCGTGCGTATGGCTCTCGTCCAGAGTGACCCTAAAAATGCTGCTGATTGTCCGATCCTCCCACGCTTCTATGCTCAGTTCCGGCGCCTTCTGAGCGGGCTGCGGTGTGGGGCCATTGCTCGACGACTGTGCGGGTTTGATCGTGATGCGCTTCTTGGGCGGCTCGTCGGTCTTGACGCCTAATTGGGAGAAGGGATTCGCGGTCGGAGTGGGCTGCGGTGGTGGCGCCGGTGATTCAGCGGGCTTTGGGGATGAAGTGCCTGATGATGCGGCTTCGGGTGCGGTCGAGGGCGGCCGTGAAGGACCGTTTGGAGTCGCAGGGCCGCCCAGCTTTGCAAGGCGCTTTGCACGGATCTGGAAGATATCCTCGTCAGCGTGTCTCTTTGACAGGCGGTCGGAAGGTGAGCTCACCTTGTCGGCGTCAGACATGGCGTCCGGCGCAGCAGCGGGTGCAGGTGCAGGCACAGCATCAGGCATTGCGCTGTCTTGCTGCTCAGATGTCGCGCTGTCTGGTTGGTCGGACATGGCCTTGTCTTGGTGCTCTGGTTGCTCGGGCGGTTGGTCGGCCATGATGGCGATGTACTGGCTTCAGGCTGCAGAGAGCTTCGGTGATGGGCGCAGCTGAGGGAGAGGTGCGAGCAGTAGAGAGGCGGTGGGGTAGATTAACGTATAAAGAGAAAGAAAGAAATAGGCCGTGGCCGTTTTGGTACAGGGACGTGGAATGAAAGAGGTGCGAACCGTGGAGCAGTACTGCGTCAGTGCCTGTGGTTAGGCACGGGTCCCGGAGCTTCTAGTCTGCCCCGCCACCCTAGCCTGCACCCTCGCTCGCCAACTCACGTGTACCAAAGAAGCTCGACGAAGCGCGACGAAGTAGTGCATAGTCATGGACTGTATTTCCGCCCTTATCTCCGGCTTATCTAGATCTGACAGATAGCTCCAGATGTCATCGCTGCCTTGCGCCCTGCTCAACGCGGTAGCGACCATTACCACCAATTTGGTTCATCCATGGATATCACCACCCACTCCTCACAGCTTCCTGCCTTCATGAACTGCAGTTTCGTTATTCCCAATGCACGACATTAGATCTTGTTAAGCATCCATTCTCTAAGATCATGTATGCTTCTACCTTGAAACATTCCTTGTAGAACGCGACCCGAAACATAGCCACCCCTAGTGTTGAATCCAGAAAGGAGTCCAGAAACTATGACTTACCAGTTGGCCCGCGTAGTACCGGTATCTCTCTATGATCACTCCTGACCGAGCCGAACTTTGGCATGATGGTTTGGAGGCCTCGTGATGGACAAACGATCTGCGTAGTCGACCAAGACGCTCATGCGACATACTTATCTTTGACAGGTCACGTGAATAGGTTTCACACTGCTCGCCCCAGTTTACCGTGAGCTCTCTATCTCACAATATCCGAAATACCTTGTGCAACGGGAAAAGCTGGGTACCTACCTCCTAAAAGAGAACAAGACTTCGAGATCTTATCTAATCCAGTCGTTCGTGCTGATGTAGGCGGCAGCGCACCCGTTCAGTTTGTTCAAAAGCAACTCCAATCTGTCATGTAATCCTCGGCCTTGTCTTCCGTATCCGCTTGTTTCCATACATCTTCTTCACCTGCGACGCCGTTTTCATCAACGTGCCAATTTCCCTTCTCAACCATTTCACACCAGTTGACTAGGACAGCGGCCAACGGTGTGCCATGTGCGGGTAGAAATGGGGTACACGCCCCATGCCGATACAAAGCATCTTGACCTTGGTCGCTCGGCTTCACGATAGTTCCATTTTTCTTGCGCACGTGGCCATTAGCTCCGATGGGGAAAGGCAGGAGTAGAGAAATTGAGTGTGTGTGCGTGCCATCGGGGGTCAGATACAGACCGGCGCGGTTGTCAAGGGTGTGGGCATGTCCCCGTCTATCCTTCCACCGGTCACGATCAGACTCGAGAACGAGTTGGAGGCCTTGTGTCCGCCACGGGAACAAGAGAAATTTGGGTATATAGCTCATTTCATAGTCTGGAGTGGTGATGGAAGCGTCGGGGTGTAGCTCCTGTAATTTGGCACCTACACGGTGAACGAAGGCTTCGGTCGGAATGTCCAGTTGCGGAGCGATGGAAGTAAAGGTCGGCTTCTTCGCCCGAGAAAGGATTGCGCGTGCGAAAGACGGGATAGCCGGATATTGCTCCAAGATCTCAGATGATACCAAAACAGCGTCCACTTCTTCTTGCTTCTCCTCCTGGTGTGCTCTCGGGTCGTCATCTTTCCCTTGTCCCGGTAGGCGTTTAGTGATCGCGTCCACCAAACTATGCCACGCCTCCAGCGCGCCCTCCAGCTCAAGGCCAGTCCACTCGAGTATCCTCCATCCCTGCGTAGTAAGTTCATCTCCCAGGTATTCTGCATCGATGACGAATTTCCCCGACTCGACGCAGTCCCAGTAAATTTCCAGCGCATTCTGAAGATCGTCCCAATAGAGGTCTTCAGGTTCGGAATACGGGGAGGCCATGTAGCCCACTTGCTGCGTCGATAGGCTGTACAAAAGACCCCCTGCATCATATGCAGGTCCTGTGTAAAGCAGGATGTAATCCTCGCGTTCCTCGATGATGCCAAGCCACATATCGGGGATCATATGGTTAGGCGAAGGGACACCGACGAGCAAGGGATTAAAGGCCAGATGTTGATGTTGTTCGGGCACGACGATGTCGATGCCTGATAGGAAGGCTGTGAGGTCATCGTCGAATTCTTCCTCGATATCTAGGGGCAAGGGAACGGGTGAGGAAGGATCTAGTGAGTGCGCGCTGAACCAGCTGCGTTGAATCTGGGGTTGGCGGTCGGGTGGAAGGTGCGAGCAAGCGTGGGCGACGATGCGGTTGTGTAGATCTATGCACTTGTCAACCTCAAAGCCCATGGTGAACGTCGAGTCGCAAAGGTGTGTTGTGGGCGGGGTTTGTTGGTGTACACGTGTTGGTGAGTTAAGGTAGCCGGAAGGCACGGTTGGGAAGCGCCCCATTCAAGAGAAGATCTGACTCGGCAACACCCACCTAAAGCTGTTGATCTAGAGGTCTACATTGCGTTCGGGTCTTTGAAATATCCTGTTCTGCACCAATGTCGTCTGCAGCGCGCCTGTCTAGTGTCCTCCGTGTGTGAGTTGGAGGCGTCTTGGACACATTGAGGAACACAGGAGCAGGAACAGGAACAAGAGGATGGCCTAGAACGCAGACGAAGAAGGCGTATGGATCCACGCACTAGGTCGACCCTGCCGTTCGACAGTGGTTCCTGCCTGTGGGAGACTGGTCGCGCTTGCCAGAGCACGCGCACGCAGAACAAGCTGGGGAAAGGGCAGGCGAGCTGTCAGGTCCAATCTGAAACCCTTGTCACGACCAAGACCTTGCCGGGGCAACCAGCAACACACGACGGTAACAACTGGTGCAAGGCGATTGCAGTCAAAGAACAGCCGTCTTGTGCATGAGAACAGGGCCTCCGTGTTATTGGCCGTGCTGGACATGTCAAACCGCACCGGGGGACAAGCTGCTGCCATGTGACGGCTCCGGGGCGTGTGCATGGGTAGTTTACCTTGTCGGTTAGGGCAAGGCGCTTGATGCAGATAGCTAATCGCCTTCTCCTCTTCTCTCGGCCAACCTACAGTGCACGCCATCGCGACGACGCTTCACAAACCTTCTACGTGATAATCAACTGAGCAGCTGTCCAGGTACGTCACGCTCGCTCTCATTTCGCTCCCGCTAGGCCGCAATCGCCGAAGCGCTGCGTGGCGCAAGCAGCACTCAGCCGCAGTTGTTGCAGCACGACCCCCGTTGCGGCCATGGTGCCTAGAGCCATAACACCCTGAAGCCGCTGTTCTCCAACTTCAATCACCGCCAGTCCAGCTCTCCATCCACATACTCACCACCTCCCTCACAGATCTTGCTGCCCCCACCGCCGCCTCAATAACCCATCCCCCACGACACCATGGCCGAGATTCGACGAAAGCTCGTTATTGTCGGTGACGGCGCCTGTGGAAAGACCTGTCTGCTCATGTACGTCCTCGCCCTCGCCATCACTCTTGACACTCCTGCAAAACAACTGCTAACGGTGCCGTCTGCAGCGTCTTCTCCAAGGGCACCTTCCCCGAGGTCAGTACTCGCCGCCCGCCTCGCCTGCATCCCTGAGCCGCGTCAGCCTAGCTGTTCCGCCTGCACTCGCAGCCATCGCAGCCTGCACTCCCTCCCAACGCACCCACTAACGTGCCCGCCTGCAGGTCTACGTCCCCACCGTTTTCGAGAACTACGTCGCCGATGTCGAGGTCGACGGCAAGCACGTCGAGCTCGCCCTCTGGGATACCGCCGGCCAGGAAGATTACGACCGTCTGCGCCCTCTCTCCTACCCCGACTCGCACGTTATCCTGATCTGCTTCGCCATCGATTCGCCCGATTCGCTTGACAACGTCCAGGAGAAGGTACGGCAAATGCCTCACACGCGTACAAGCAGCCGCTGACACACAACAGTGGATCTCCGAGGTTCTGCACTTCTGCCAGGGCCTTCCCATCATCCTCGTTGGATGTAAGAAGGATCTGCGCTTCGACCAGAAGACGATTGAGGAGCTACACAAGACCTCGCAGAAGCCCGTGACACCCGAGCAGGTTAGTAGCCACACTCCACCCACCAGTCACCCACTAACACACCCAGGCCGAGGATGTGCGCAAGAAGATCGGTGCCCAGAAGTACCTCGAGTGCTCGGCCAAGACGAACGAGGGCGTCCGAGAAGTATTCGAGCACGCCACCCGGGCTGCCCTGTTGACCCGGAAAGAGAAGAAGACCAAGAAGTGCTTGATCTTGTAAGCCTGGACAAGACTTTGCGACGATATAGGTCGAGAGCCGCCGCAACCGCGCGATGTTGAGCCTGGACAAGAGCAACACGGTGGCGGCTATCGGGTGTCTAATTAGTGGTCTATTTGAGAAGGAGGGCAACATGTCATGGGCCGGTAGGGGTAGCAGACGAGCCGACTCCTTCCAGTCTGCTTGCAGTCTCATCTCTGACGGCACCTATACGAGGCGTTACTGTGCTGGATCTTTTGTGTGTTTGGACCGTACATCATCTTGGGGTAGTTCATGATGGGGTTATCTTCTCAGAAAGCGTGTGGATCGAGATTGAGCAAATGGTAGGATCTTTCTAATAACCGGTGCTTTGTTTTGCTCTTATCCGTGTCTACCCATATCAATCGTTGAAGCCTGTGAACTATATAACATGACTTTCTTTGGTGACTTCTCTATTGTGATCTCAACTTCTCCATGATAAAGCATAGTTCACGACACATCCACACATAGATGATGTGCCAATCTGAAACACGCCTCCCCATCATCATCACATCGTGCATCCACCCTTATCTCGCACCAAACACCGCATATCTCTCGCATTATCTCCCTCTCCTGACTCGCTCTTCACATCTCTCTCCACATACCAAGCCCATGCTTATGCAACGCATGTACCAAGACTGTACCAATCCTCTTGACCCGGATGTGAGGTTCCGATGTACCGCCCCGCCTTTAATGCAGGCAGTGCGAGGCGAGAGGCGAGGCGAGGAGAGTCTGAGGGCCTTGCTTAAGATGTGCTGGTGCTGGTGCTGGCCGGTGGGTAAGCTTGGTGGGTACACAGTACTGTGCAGTGGATAGGTGGATATGTAGAGCGGAAAGTGGAGATGCTTGGGGGATCAGGCCACCAAGCTATTGTCGATAGCTGCACTGTCTGCTTGACGGTGCGTGGTAGATGTGAGAGGGTTTGTGATATTGGGCAAAGTATATGTACTGTCTATTGCCTTGAGATCTTAGGTGTTGGGCAGATGTGAAATCGTTATAATGTGTTGCTATATGTATTTATGTATATATATACAATGTGTCCGCGTAGTGTCTCTCCTCAAGACCAGATTGCTGGTTGCATGTGCAACGCCGATGACGCTGTGTCCCTGAACGCCTGTGCTAATAATGCTTATCCGTACCCAAACCCTATATGCTACATGAAAATCGAAAGCGCGGTAAATGCTCCAACGAGCGCGAAGAAGGACGTCGAAGTCGAGGACACCGCAGCAGCAGCGCCCTCCTGGTCTTGAGGCTGTCCAGCGCCCGCTGTATTCGAGCTTGCTCCCCCAGTCCCAGTCCCAGTCCTCGATGCCGAAGGAGATGTGGTACCTATCAATTTCAAGTCAGTCAATGTTACTTCCATGTTACTTCGAAAAAGGTCCAAACATACCAGTAGAGCTCTCACTCTCAGCAACAACATCCTGCTCCTGTCCCAGCACACCCAATCCCACTCTACTGCCCTCGAAATCAAATACACTGTACACGTTCTTGAGAAACACATCGCCCACCAACCACTGGTTGTCGCCAAATGTCTTCCTGCCTACGATATTACTTCTGCACAACTCTGATCCATCGTCTTTACCGCCCACCCAATCCGCTGTAGAAATGTTGTATACACGATCGTTGAAACTGAATTGTATGGCAGCGCTCGTATCGCAGGGCACGAAGAACGTCTCGCCATCTTGTTCGAAGCCCTGGATTTGGGAATGTAGAGCCAGAGCATCTGGTTCGGGTATGAGGATGAAGGATGTGCCCGTATCCATTATCGCCGTTCGGTCGACTCCAGTGGTAAGGTTAGCAGACTTTCCATCCACACCAGCGTCTTGCAATGGTATCTCCCAAAACCCTGACTCGTTGTCTACGCATTCGATGTAGTTGATGTCGCCGGTAAACCGCTCTTTGTTCGCTTCTCCCAAGTTCAGTTCGCCGTCCATCTTCCCGTCCTCGCCCCGACTCAAATGTATACCGTACATCTTTGCGCCGATGAGGTTCTGGCTCGAAAGCAGGTCCATAATTTGTGGTGCGTCAATTTCATCGTCGCCTGTGCCTTGTACGCCGCGGCCGATGCCGAGTATGCCGTCCATGGGGTATGCGCGGAACTCGTCGGATACGTTCGTCGCGAGGCCGAATGTGAGGGTGGGGGAGAGGGAGGGGCCGAGGTGGAGGACGTCGGTTGCGAGGTGGCCTGACGAGGAGCCTGTGCCGTAGGTTACGCTGAAGGGGGTTGTTGCGTCGGTCTGGGTGTCGTGTTAGCATTTGAACTCATATGGTGTCCGATCCGATGAGGGACACAAGACAGATAGAGATAGGAAGCACAACGTACTTTCAGCGTACTCGAATCCGCCGTCCCGAAAGTCGCATGCGTCTTACACGCTTCGCTGTCGCACTCCTCGCTCATAACCCAGGTGTTGCTAGCCGCTGAATCGAGCAGCAGATGGTATTCATCCGTGTTGTCGCCGAACGTTACAGCGACCATGTAGCTGAGATCACTGCCATCTTGGTCTATGGCTACGCTGTTTTCTTGGCTGGGGTTGTTCGAATTGACGATGTTGTAGACGTTTTGGCGGGATCGTAATGAGGGTGTGCGTATGCGACGAAGCGGGAGCGTTATGGAGCGCGAGGTCCCGGCTTGGGAGGACGCTGGTTGTGGGGAGGTTCGATGCGATCGGGTTGATGTGGAGGAGGTTTTGCCGGAGGTATAGTGGTAAGGGTAGAATGCCGTCGCTGTAGGTAGGATTGCTGCCGTTGAGAGCGCGAGCCAGGTTGGCAGGTAGGTGTGCATGGTGTTGTGACGTCGGTGTCTAGAGTCTGAGCTCTTTAGTCCTTTTGCCTTTCCAATTGCTGTGTGACGTCTTCTCGAGGATTCGTGGTATTGAAGTCGCTTTCCAGTATTTCAAGTGCGATGTTGTCAACGCGTCCCGTTTGCCTTCAGCCGGCACTATTCCAATCCAATCCAATCGCCAGAAACGAACGTAAATAACAAGGCGCAGTAAACGTATACACAAGAAGAAGAAAAGATAACGACTACGCAATACCCGCCTGAACGAATGGTACCCAGGTAGGACGTGCGGCTGAAAAGAAGGACAATGCGGGTATGATCATCCAAAAAGGTCCAAGTAGGTAAACAGTCCCTCAAGCTTTCCAAACGCCACAGAAAACCCAAGTTATCGTGAACAGAAAGAGAACGAAAGAGAAACGTAAAGCAGTCCAGACGAAGAGAAAGCACCAACGCCATCGCGCCATGCACCACGCAAGCCTCACCCAACATGACGCCCTTGGCTCTCTCTCCTTCCCTATCACGATATGGATCGGTCGGACGCGCAACCCGGCGAGTTGAGCTATGTGGGGCGCTAGCGCGCCCATCGTGTTTACCCCTTGAACCGACGTTCGTTTGAAACAGCGAGGTCATGTCTGACAGGACCAATGACAGCTGCATGATGTAGCAATCTGCATCGGCTGTCTGGCATCTGGCATCTTCCTCGTTGGGGGGCGATGATGGGTTCAAGGCTTTGATTTGCTGGTTGGCAGAGCTGATGTAGACGATCTTAGGAAGGGGAGGTGGGCTTGGCGTAATGCGATGGGCGACGGGGAGGCCGATGGAGGACGATCGGTGTGGGAGTGGAGTGTCTTGATTATGCAATGGTCTAGGACGAGGGCAAAGTCTTGTTAGCACTGCGATTGACAGAACTTGAGAAGGTGTCTATGACTGGTTCATTCAAATGTTTCTACGAGATCTGGCTGCGGAGATTTTGGCTCTACTATTTCGCCCCCGCCTGAATCATCTCTGGTGCTTTCTTGACACCCACCACCTTCTTTGCCTCCATAATCTCCAACCTGCTAAGACCCATACCGCTCAGGTATTCGTTGAAGCTGCCAAGGACCTTCTCAAGACCTTGTCTGAGACATTCTCTGGCTTCATCTACTTCAGGCACTTTCCTCCTCTCCGCTTCTGGCTTGCCGTTCGTCTCCTTGTCACTCCAATGGATCGGAGCTGTGTCCATGTACTCATCGATCTTCTTCAACGCAATAGTGAATATGCGCACTATGCTCGGGATTCCTTGGTGAAAGCGTCCTAAGCTGTCTTCTGCAAGAGAAAACACCGCAAGATTTGCTAGTGCAGTCGCGGCATTACAGACTTGGGAAAGTTGAGAGTAAGGTGCGCCGAGAACGACAATGTTCGATGTGCGTTGGAAGGAATGCTGGAACAGCAAGCCGACCGGGGAAGAAACAAGCTTGTTGTAATAAGTCGTGAAGAACGACTCGGCTTCCCTGGCACCTTCTTGGGCCTTCTTCATCCCCTTGTTGATGGCTTCCCGACTGTATGCTTGCTGTGCGTTTCCTGGAGCGCTGTGTGACTTTGCAATACTGGCGGTTGCTGCTTCGACATGTTCCCACCTGGTACTTGGTTGTGGTGGCGCTGCAGCAATCGGCTTGTCGTCCTTCAGCGGTTGTGCGATACGAGGAACCAGATTGATAGGCCCGGTTGGCTTGTCTTGACCTGATGCATCGCTGGGCTGGTAAGCTGGATCGAGACCAGCACTGACGCGTTCGATAAGCCACTTGAGCTGTCCCAGACAGATATCCGTAACTTGCTGATGTGTCGGGGCCTTCTTACGATCCATCTCGCTGTAGATAGTCTTGCGGCGCTCGGGAAAGGCGTCGGTGATGAGAGCTAGCTCCCAGAAAGCAATGGCCTGAATCAGTCAGCAGTGAACGTAGTAATAGTATCACTTCCTCTTACCTTGACAGTATCCTTCTTCGACTTGAGTCCATTCAGAAGGGATCCATTGGGGTCGGTAGAGTCGTTCGTGATGGGAACGTCGTTCTTCAAGGGCTCTTGTGCAAGGTACACGTCGAAGGTCTTGTTGACAAACTCCCAGAGCACAACGAGAAGCGTTCCTTCTGTGACAAACATGAAGCACAGAGGCAGGAATGGAGCGAGTCCTGTGGGTGTGGAAGTCTTGGACAAGCTCCAAAGGTATCGACTGAAGCTGTAGTAGTAGCTCCAGATCAGGTTTCGGGTTCCGAGGTAGTAAAGACAGAAACCGGCAGCTGCAACGACCGAAGTCAAGAAGGTCGAATGTGTTGCAATGCCCTTGAGCGATCTCGTGAGAACATGTCTGGGCTTGGGACCCCGTCGTGCCGGGGTGGAAGTGGTCGCGTCACCCCGCTCCTTCTTAGGCTTCATCGCCTGCAACTCAATCTTGTCGTAGTCCCTCCACAAGTGTACTCCAGATTGTGCTGCTGATAGTAGGTAGAAGAGATAGCGCAGGTAGAGCGGCCTCTCGTTCAGCCGGAATCGCTCGTGCATGCGGCCGGCCTCGATGAAGTTGAGCCTGGCCTGGGTGCCCCGCGACCAGATATATGTTTCGACAAACAGCATCGCGGAGAAAGCGTATGCGACAAGCGTGATCAGCGTCGCAGGACGGAAGAAGTATTTCTTGAAAGTCTCGAATCGGGTCTCCGTTTGGCGGCGGCCAACATGCCACTGGGCGACGCGAAGGACGTAGATGGAAAGCGCGGAGAGAAAGATGAGGAGGGTCCGAATGCCAGTGAGGCCTAGAGGAAACCACAGCCATAGCACTGTTCGAGTTAGTAGGTGTGTATGGAATTCAGTCAGTATCTCTCACTGTTATCCCATTCTCCCATCCAGCACGCGATCGCATAGCATAGCAGCAGCGTGTATCGACTGGCCTTGTTGAATCTTCGGTGCAGGGCTGGCGTCAGGTAGTCTCTGTACGGGCGCACTTGCGTTCCCAGCGGTGCGAGCGCCATGTTTGCGACGGTTCGGGGCGGAGTGAGCGTATGAGTGAGGAACAGGCTATATCATAGCAAAGAAAAAGAAGGATGGCGTCGCGCCAAGGATGTATCGAACGCGCTGGTGCGGCAGTCTGGTGTACTGCAGCAATGAAAGCTGCCCGACTTTGTTCAAACAAACATTGTTGATCGGCGCAGCTACCACTTGGTCGCCGACAGCTGCACGCTTACCTAAGGGATCCGCTTGTGCCTTGAGCCATGTGCCCTAGCCGCGGTCCTTCGTCATCGCCGCAGGAACCACCGAGCACCAACCTCCAGGTAGCCACGATTGGACTTGCGTACTAGGCTGCAACAACCCCACACACGATCGCATAGCTTAAAACATCGTCCAGACACTCTTGTAGAAGACCGCCGAGTGCCGCCTCTCTTATCCGGCACCATGTCGTTCCAACGCTCCAGCGCCCTCGAATCGCAACCCACGACATGGCGAAGGGACGACGATCCGTCATACGCCGATGACCCAGAGTTCCGCGACTTCGCCGACAAGCTTTCCGACGACCTCTTCGCCCTGACCCGCAACGTCGCCCGCCTGTCGCAAGAGACGGGCAAGCTAGGGACCAAGCACGAGACCGCCCGTGTGCGCGAGCGCGTGAAGACCACCGTCGAAGAGACATCGGAGAAGTTCAAAGAGCTTGGAGAGGGATTGAAGAAGATTACTACCTGGCCCGATGTTGGGGTATGGATACCTCGTTCTTGAGATGGAAGCCGATAGCTAACAGACCACAGCCCTCGCAGAAGTTCACGCAATCGAAGCTCCAGCGCGAATTCAAAGCAACACTCACCGAGTTCCAACACCTCCAGAAGCAAGCGTTAGAGAAAGAGAAGCAGTCGGCACAGGCGGCACGCACAGCCCTGCAAGACGTATCATCGCCAAGCGAAGAGCGGGGAGACTTTGGGCAACAACAGGAGCAGGAACAGCTGCGCTTGGCAAACCAGGATGAGGTCGACTTCCAGGAATCGATGATCATCGAGCGCGAGTCCGAGATCCGCAACATCGAGCAGTCTGTTGGGGAACTCAACGAGCTGTTCCGTGATGTTGCGCATATGGTGCACGAGCAGGGTGCGCAACTCGACATCATTGAAGAGAACGTTGAGGTCACGCATGACGCGTCGCGAGGCGCACATGTGAATCTGAAGCAGGCGAGCAACTATCAGAAGAGCGCCAGGAGTAAGGCATGCATCCTGCTGCTCATCCTCGCTATTGTTTTGGTCATCATCATTCTTGCTGTCGTTTTGGATTAGATGATATATGAATCATCCCTGTAATGGTTGGTTCTGCTTGTTTCGGCGTTGCATTGTACATTTGGGGGGATCTTATACCATGGTGCATTTCATTGCAAATTTCTGTCGTTTTCGAATCGTGTTTTTGCCAACTGTCTAGTCAGGCTGCTTATTGTTTGTTTTGCAGTGGCTCTTGTGTCAGCCGTGTCATATCTAATCAATGTTCAACATTTCATCACTCTCTCGTGTGTCATTCCTGTGTTGGTTGCTCGCTCCTTCCTCCACGTACTTCCCAGGACCTGGCTCGGCTCACTGAGAAGGCGCGCTATAAAAACTTTCTCTCACATCGCGTCATGCCACATCACTGACTGTCACTTTACGTCTCTGCTTCGACGCCGCTTGCATGTTCCCGAACGCTTCGAACGGCATTCGGGCTGCAGCTGCATCTTCGGATCCGCTGGACTTTACCGACAGTAGCGACGTCGATGACATCGGCGCCCTGACACACGAAGAGCTACGAAAACTGCTAGCATTCACATCTTCACCGCCAGCGTTCTTATCTTCGCCACCACTCATGTCTCGTCACATCCCTGTACAGGCCGATCCCATGAGTGCCAGAACCTATTCCAAGCACAAGGTTGCCCCGCCACTGCACAGGTACATCTTCCCTATTGACATGCACGGCTTAGCTCACATACTGTCAGTGTTGCGGCACAAGGAGGCATACCAGTCCATGTCGTCGTCGAAGTTGGCCCCGAACGCAAGGCATACCATGTTCAGAAGGCATTCTTGACACACCACTCCGACTACTTCCGCAAGGCACTCAGTGGTACCTGGACGGAAGCCAAGGACGGAGTCGTAAGTCTGGACGATATTGAGCCCGCTGTCTTCAACCTATTCCTGGAGTGGATGTACACCCAACAGGTTCCCGTTATTTGGGGCGACTACACCCGTATCATGGACCGATCATTCACGCCCCTAGACATGTGCAAGATCAAGTTGTACGTGTTCGCCGACCGGTTTGCAGTGCCTGTATTACGAACAGCTATGAATCGGCAGATAGTCCAGGACTCTGACGCTGGTCCTCCAGTGGAGTTGGGCTACAGATCGATCATATACGCCTTTGAGAATCTTCCACCATCCGACCCACTGCTGGACCTGTTCGTGGACCGACATTACGTGGAATGGAGTGGGTACAAGGTTCTGATGCTTCAACTACCGCATGATTTCTTACTACGTTTCTTCGAGAGGGTAGGTAGCGAGCGGGCCAAAGGCCATACCGTGAAACCGGGCGTCTATCAATTGGACCTTTGCAGTTACCATGAGCATACGACGGATGTGGAGAAGAGCTCTTGTTCTGGCAAGTCAAAGTTGCGCATCGGAAAAATTGCATTGGAGCGGCCACTCAGGAGCGAAGACCACAAAGGGGCATGCTAAATTACGGGCGGCCAAACCTTCTTCTGCGTCGCTTCTGGCTGGAGAGTATCTGACATTCTGTACGGGTATCTACATAACATTCTGCAATCTAGCTAGCCATCCGCTCTATGCGCTGTTGATGGGTTCGCCCTTCTCATCAATCAAACTCTCTTCAGTCTTGACTGGACCTTCACCAACACCTGTCAAGATGACTCTGCTGACACCCTCTTCCAAGAATGTGATGGCGGGACCGGCGTCAAACTTGACCTTCTCAAGCGCGTCGGCGTTGGCCTGAACAGCCTGCCCCCTCTCGCCTTGCCATCCATCCTTCTCATTCAGGATCTGCTTGAACAGACCAGCAACCTCCTTCTCGTTCTCCTCAAGGTAGTACACAACAGCATTTGGGCCAGCGTCGAAGGTGTACGCAGCGATGATCTTACCCGCCGCAGCGTTGATGCTCTCAACAACCTTGATAGCCGCACGAGAAACGTCGTTGAGGTAGAAGATCGGAGGGAAGGTGTCGAGGCAAGTAGCGTGGAAAGAGTTGCTGTCCATCATGGTAAGCTTGCCAAAAGCCTCAAAGTCCTTGTCCTTGATAGCCTTCTGCATCTCCTTCATACGCTTTGGGACAGTCTCGGTAGCTCTCGACTGGAAGAGGCTAGATGTAGCAACAGTGATCTGCATACCAGAGGTACTCGACACACCCTTCTTAGCTGCGCTGACAACCAAGATAACAGCGCGCATGTTGGGCCAGTGGCTCGCAGGCGCAACCTGGAACGCAACACTGTCACTGCCGTCCGAAGCGGAGCCTTGTTCCCAGCCTACATATCCGCCGAAAAGCGAGCGGCACGCGGAGCCAGAGCCCTGCCTTGCGATACGTGAGAGGTCGGTCGGTGAGGAGGGGAGCTCGTAGAGGTTTGCAATTGCGCGGACAAGAGCAGCGAAACCAGCAGCCGAACTAGCCAGTCCAGCGGCGGTGGGGAAGTTGTTCTCGGAGACGATGCGCAGAGGCAGGTCGGCGAGTTTAGCGAGGCTAGAGTCCTTCTCCTCGAGCTGCTTCCTCAGTGCCCTCAGCTCCCTGAAGCATGCTTGTGTCCTAGCACCAGAAACATCCTGAGATTGGCCGTTGAGGAGGAGTGTGTCTTCTTTCGGGTATTTGGGCGAGCACGACGCGGTGGTGTGGGTGCGGAGGTCGGACTGCGCGAGGGTGACGCTGAGGGAGGAGTTGGTGGGGAGGTTGAGCTTGGGGTCGCGCTTTCCCCAGTATTTGATTACGGCGATGTTGACCGGGGCGGTGGTGCTGGCACGGTGGATGTCGGACATTTTGACGTTTGGTATATAGGACTGAAGGGAGGGAAAGAAGCAAAACACTGAGGGTAGCGGTGAAAGTCAAGGGGGCTTGGTGGGGTTTAATGTTTATATGCAGGGTCTAGTTGGATGCGGTCTAGAAAGCGCGGATCTAGGACAGTACCTCAAGACAGCGGAATTACCTGCACGATGACAAGTTAGACAGGTTCGATCTTGGAAATTGGCCGTCTACCACAGAGTATTCTCCGGTGGTAGAAAGACATACACCCTGACGCTGTCTAAAGCGGTGGAATGCGGTAGTTGAAGGCCAGCCAATCAGACGCACCTGATTCCCGCAAAGGCCCGTGCCCAACATTTCTCGATGGCTTCCGTCACCATCCCGAGTTTCTCGGAACCCGACAAATCCAACCTCACACATCTCCACCACAATGTCCTCGCAAGACGACCCAGCAGCCGCCTGCCCCGTCGACCACAAGACACGCGAAGCATGGCTCGCCCAAGCCCGTGCCCAAAACGGCACCACACCACCAAATCCCCATAGCACATCCATCCCAACACCCGCCGCCGCCGCCGCCCCAGCACCCTCCCAATCCGCCGTCCAGCAATCCTGCGACTCCTCCACGCTCGACCAAAGCACCACCTCCCCACCCCCAAGCAGCACAAGCATCCTCTCGCAAATACGCCTCGGCACCGACCGCGAAGTAAGCACAATACCACGCGCCCTCCCCTCCCAAACCGCAGCACAACCCGCACCCAATGCACGACCGGCCAACAACGAGCGCGACACGGGCTCGGACAAGAAAACCGGAAACTGGATCTACCCATCCGAGCAAATGTTCTTCGACGCCATGCGCCGCAAGTCGTACGACCCGTCCGCCCCAGACATGCGCACGATAGTGCCCATCCACAACGCGGTCAACGAACGCGCGTGGCACGAGATCAAGACGTGGGAAAGCGGGCGCGGGAGCGAGAAATGCGGCGGGCCTAAACTGGCGAGTTTCTCTGGGTTGAGCACGAGTTTAACGCCGAGGGCACGGTGGAAGAGCCTGATGGGGTATCAGCCGCCGTTTGATCGACACGATTGGGTGGTGGATCGGTGTGGGACGAAGGTTGAGTATGTGATTGATTTTTATGCGGGGAGGGATGAGGGGAAGGTGGGGAAGGCGTTGAATTTTTATTTGGATGTTAGGCCTAAGTTGAATAGTTGGGAGGGGGTTAAGATGAGGATAGCGAGGTTTTGGGGGTTTTAAAGGGGATGTGGTGGATAGACGTGGGTTGTAGGATAGATTTGTATATATGTAAGATTACTTGACGTGGACTGGGGTATAGACATGAAGTTGATGAGTATGGATAGATGTATATATGAACGCGAACGGAATAGAGTAACTTCGCTCAAGAAGGGAATCCTGCGCCTAGACGCGCAGTCGATGCTACCATACGCCTCTATGCGCCATGCGTCCATCTGAGAGTTGATTATATCCCCGGAACAACTCCCTCTAAGAACCACCTCCTCCCACCCTCCAACATCAAGATACGTACAGCCAAACGTACGACAAAGTCTATTCCTCATCAGAACCAGAACGCATCCATCCCAACCACCTCCTAACCTAATAAACATCCACACCCAACTTCCTCAACTTATTACAATTCTGCAACTCCATGTTCCGCGCCTTATTCATAGCCTCTTGATCGACACTAAACCACCCCTGCGCCTCTTCCATCGCCCTCCGCTGCCTAACCCTCTCATTCTGACACCTCGTATTCGTAATATGCACATACTGATTCTCAGCTATATCATCCAACTTGCGCCACTTCTTCGGCGTGTAATCGTGCACTTCCTTGGGGTCGACGTAGTAATCTATCTTTATCCGCGTGGACACGCGCTTGAGTGTGTTGGGGGAGCGCGGTGTTTCGAAGATGAGGTTGGGGCTTGCGGAGGTAGAGGTGGAGCCGGAGAAGAGGGAGGAGAGGAGGGGGAGGACGAAGAGGAAGAGGAGGGGGAGCAGGTTGGCGAAGGCGGATGAGAGGTTTTGTTGGCCTTCGCTGCCGGGGGGGACGGCGGTGCCGGGGCGTCTGCGGGGACGGCCGCCGCCGAATTGGTGGACGCGGACGCCGGGGCCGCCGCCGAGATTGAAGACGAATCCTGGGCCTGTGTCCATGCCGCCTGTGGTGTGTTAGTTTGTCATGGTCTTTTTGTTGTTCTTGCTGTTCTTGCTGTTCTTGCTGTGCAGTATAAACTACAACCCCAAGACCGAGGTTTCTGGACAGAGGAACACGTACCAAAAGGCCCCCCAAACGCACCCCCAAAGAACTGTCTAAACAACTCTTCAGGCGTCATCTCCTCCTCAAACCCACCCCCTCTTCTCGCAAACCCATTCCCAAACGGACTCGCACCACCCCCTCCATTCGCACTCGCATGCGCCCTCGGATCAAACCGCGCATCTGGATCCCCGCCAAACTGATCGTACTTCTTCTTCTTATCCGGATCACTCAACACCTGGAACGCCTTGCTGACCAGCTTGAACGCATCGTCCGCACCGTCGTACCCGTTCTTGTCCGGATGCGTGAGGAGGGAGAGCTTGCGGTACGCTTTCTTGATGTCCGAGTCTGAACAGCTGGCTTTTACTTCTTCCAGACCCAGGATCTTGTAGTAGGCGGTTGGCGCGCATGATTTGATGCGTATTACGGCGGCTTTTTGCTCGACCGTGAAGGCCCGGCCGGCGCTGCCGTCGTGGTGGTCTCGCGATTTGGCATCCGAGCCGGAGGTTTTGCCCGACATTGTGTCGTGTGCGAGAGGTGGTTTGTGGGGTATCGGTGTGTTGTGGTGGGAGATTGTGCTGCCGGGGCAGGCGGCGGTGGGGGTGGGAGGCCGATGCGCAAGTGTGGACGGCTGGTGATAATGCGGCGGTGATGGCGATGGGTGTGCGTGAATCAAATATCGTCCCGTGACGGGGTTGTGGTTGTATTAGTCGTTAAGGCGTTATCTGTTGTCTGTCGAAGTTCGCGAGTCCCGGAGGCCAGTTTCCATGTGCTGGGTTGGCACGGGCGGGCGGTCCACTTGCCGGACCAACGTCATGGTCTTCACCCAATCTCAACCCATGTACCCTTCTACGCGCAATTGTTCCTGAGCACCGGACATATTCACCCATCAGTCAATTCTTTTACGCACTTCTACAGTACACACGACCTCCACAATGCCCGAACAACCAAAGGCCTCCATGCTGCAATCGCTGAGGAATTGGGGAGGTACGTCTATCCTATCACTTCCTAATTCACATTCACCTCGTCGCACGTGCCTCACATCGTCTTGTATAATTAACAAGGCAGAGTGACTAACTGAATCCTTTTTGTACAGAGAACTCCGTACCGCCAACACTCCTCGCCACCCTAATCACAGCCCAACATGCTCGTCCATTCCAGTTCTTCCCCATGACGTTTACCCCCGTCTTGCTCTTCTCCTCCTACCTGAACTTGAGCAACTACAAGACCGATGCTGCCGGTATCACGGCTGCATGGAGTGGGTTGTATGCATTGCTTGCTATGCGGAGAAGTCAGGTATGTTTGAACTATTCCTTCACGTCGAAGAATTCTTTCATCGAACTACATTGAGAGTGGCAAAATCTAACCAAACCCAGGGCATCAAGAATAAGCTCAGCGCTCGCGGCATAATAAGAGGAGGCTCACTCGCCCTCTGCGCGATCAACGTAGCAGGTTGCGGTCTAGCCTACACATTCGGCAAGCGGGAAAAGGAAGAGAAGAAAGCATAGAGCTCGACAAACGCCCGTCATTTGTAACATTATGTATCCCTAAGATTGAAATCTCTAAAACTAGTTATGCGATCTTGCAATGAGATCTATCAGGTGCAACCCATCTCAAAGACGCCGTCGCTATGCTGAACAATCGACATCATTTGCGAGATACCTTATCAATCCCAGGCATCACCCCAGCCTTCCTCTTCTTCGTCAGCTTTCGGCTCTTCTTTCTTGACTTCTTTCTTGGGCGGTACGATGACTTTTCTCGTCGTTCCTGTCGTGCTCGACCTGCTTCCTACTGCCGGTCTAGCGGCCTTTGCTGCTGGCGTAGCTGACTTAGTGAGACCCTTTGGAAGAGCGTTCTTCGTGGGCTTCTTCGCATTCGATTGAGCTGCCAACCATCCCGCGAAGTCTGGCTCGCCCTTATCATCATATGACGTCGTGGATGCTGGCTTCGACACGGCTGGTGTACCCCATGGGTCCTCCTCGTCTTGTGGTTTTTCCTCTTCGTCAGCGAAGCCGCCCCAGTCATTATTGAAGTCTTCTGCCTCGTCATCAAACGCCGCTGCGGGATCTGGTGATTTAATGGTAGGAATTGAGGCGGTACTCTTTGCGCTATGAAGAGTCATTCCGGGCTTTGTGGCTACAGGGACTGGTGGTTTGCTGAAAGTTGTGGTAGCTGGTGGTACGGAGGACGATCTCTGATCGGCGGCTCCATTGGTTGCTGAGTTGGCCTGCATCTCGCCGCTTGTAGATGCTAACTTGTTTGTGAAGCTTGAAATGGCCCAGCCGGCCCACGAGGTATCGTTTGCAGGTGTCCCAATCCGTGGGGTAGGTCCCCCGCCAGCGGTGAGACCTGGTGATGGTAGCACGGTATCCGGCATTGTGGCCGCGAACTTGCGGATCCGCGCGATGTAGATGTCAACACTCTTCTGTGCTTGGTCGCGAATGAGTTTCTCCTTGTCTACCAAAGAAGGACACATGATGGGGAGCAGCTTGGTCGCACAGTCATCTTCCGTGAAGAGGTCGGCTGTTGCGGCCAGTGCAAGCAGCGCAGCGTTTCGAGCGTGCACGAACGGGTCACGTAGTGAGCGAGAGAAAGCGGCTGCAAGGACCTTGGCTCGGCTCTGTCAATATGTTAGTGTCTATTTTGTACGTCGAATGTATCAAGACGTACGCTAGCTCCCAAGTTGCGCGCAATCTTTCCTAAACAGATTGTAGTGTTGGTCCGAATGCCGGGTTGTTCATCATTTGCAGTCTTTGCTAGATGGCGAAGAAGCTCGCCATTCACTGTTCTGTCCGATAACTTGGGTACTACGGTGAGAATAGCTTTCACTGTCTGTTCTCTCACTACCGGTGCGATGTCCGAGAAGCCAGTCACCTGATGATGTTAGTATTTCCTTCAAGACATTGGAGTGGCGCTTACCATCTGGGGGAAGATCTTATCGTTCACAAGCTTCTGGGGTAGATGGTCGATCATGAGCGGCAGGTTGTCTAACAAGCAGACCCGTATCCCTCGATCTGGGTTTGCGAACAGCCGCACAACAACCGGTGTGATTTGAGTTTCGTACTCGTCGTCTGAAAGCTTCTGTCCTATTTGCATGACAGTACTGAATACCTTGGCACCTCCCCCTCCAAACTCGACAGACTTCAGTAGTTCAGGAAGTACCTTCATCTTGAAGAAATCCGCCGGGAAGTCGTCCGCGACCGCATCGAGCTTCCTATGATCGGTCAGCATACTGGTTGCAAATGGATTCTGGAACCACCTACCCGAGTAGCTCATTCCGCTCGTCCTCGGCTTTCAATCCCAGATTCTCAATGTCGTCCGTCACTTGAATCAATGGTGTTTGGAAGAAGCCTCCGATGCGCTTTCCCTGATCCAAAAATTGGCCCACGCTCATACGCGACTTTGGGTTTGGGTTGAGGAGGCGTTTGTATGATTGGTGCATGCTTGGTGGAATGCTCTTCATTTGCCCTAGCTGGTCGCTGCTGTTGTAGCTGCCGTTGAAGACCTCGAAGATAAGGATACCATAGTTGTATGCATCTACGGCGTGCGTCGGGTTCTGCTTAACGACCTCCCACCCTCCCTTGGAAACTTCAGGAGCCATGTACCGTCCCGCATCTGGTATGAGACCACCATAGGTCGGTATTATGGAATCATCTTCTTTCACAGAGCTCAGCGCATCGAAGCCGCCAAGTTTCCACTCGCCGCTCTCGCTGAAGAATATAGACGCTGGGCGGATGCAGCCGTGTATCGACGCAGCATCGGCATTCACGAACTTGAGCGTCTTCGCAATGTTGTGTAGCCCCCATTTCGTGGTCTCTTCTGTCAGACTCTTCCTCTTAACATGCCAGCTGAGTGGGCTTAGTCGCTCGGTCGCGATGTAGATATATGTCTCCGTCTCTACCGTGTCCAGGACCTTCACGACTCCTGGATGACGCAGGGTGCGTAGTTTGCGGAGCGCATTGCGAGCGAGGGGCAGTCGCGACTTGTTGGCGGTTATGTCGAAGGAGAAGATGCTACATTTGGAGCCGTCTTCCTAGCAGGCGTACGTTAGCAAGTGTTCGCGCACAGGCAGACCTCCGGGCCATACTCGCTTTGTGCCGTTGTGCAGTGTCCAGATGGAGTCGTTCAAATCGACCCGATCCCCAAATGTGTAACCAAAGGCCGGACCTTGCGATATCGCAGACGCGACCGCTGATTTGAGGAAATTCATAGCGCTGCTGTAACCTTGGTGAATCTGTACAGCAAGCACATGCAAGTGCACGTAGAGGCCAGATGCGCCTGCCCCACCGGATCATCGGCACGTGATAGCGTGATCCACGCTCAACGCACAGCCCTGGAGCCCTGGATTCTTTCCGTCCTCAACACCAGACGACACAACAATCGGTGCACTCCCGCCTTTACTTGCAGCCTCGCATCGTTCTCTCACCCACACGCATGAGAAATCACAAACTCCGCATGGCTGCTCGCAGGCTGTCCTCACATCGTCTTCTCCCGTATGTCGCGCGGAAGCGGCACCTTGTCCTAGACGCGTCTCTCCGAACTAGGCCCACTCTGTTCCGAGTCGGGTCAGCGAACTGAACCATACAGCCAGTAAGTACCCATGTACTGACACCTGACACGGATCCTTTCTCCCATGATGACCATTGGTAAAAGGTTAGATCGCTGAGAACACTGAGATGGTTTGCCTTTGCGCCTGCTGCGTGGCCTAGTATGTCGCGGCCTTCACTGTTTGCGCGTGCTTGCCCGTTGAAGAAACAAAGCGGAAGCCTCCAGTGCAGCGAAATGCTGCCATGCAACAAACAAACTGAACAGAACGGATCCACCTCGTTCATTGTCGATTGACTTTTTCAACGATGATCTAAAAGTACCCGCTAATATTCATGTACTATTGCAGGTGCTAGCCTTCTACCTCCGTCCAACATTTCAAATGGAACATCATGAGAGCGAACAACAGGCGCCTTCTGAACCTCGTCTCAAGCTGCCACATCATGATCGGCCTGGCATTGTCGACAAGGAAGTCTCAGAGAAGCCTCCCACCTTGAGCCAAAGTCACGCACAGCCGCGCCGAAAGAGTGTGATATCACCGCCTCCACTGAAGCGTCAACGTACAACATCCGGCAAGCCCAACTCAACGATTCGAAAGGCAGGTCTTTCGACTGACCCTAGCGCAGTCACGCACAGGTATGGAGGATGTTGAGGAATACTTAGCCATACTGACGAGTACTATAGCTTTAGTGAACACGTTGTAGCCACCTCGACTGCGCAAAGCAACCGGAACGCGGGCATAACACCGGTCTCCAAATCGTTCCCAGCACCGACTGTTCCTCAACCACATGTAAACCGGAACGCCCGCGATATCTCAGGAAGACGCCATGTATCTCAATCAAGAAAGCCCTTGAAGTCCGGTTCGTTTCCTAAAGCTACCTGTCTCATCTGTGATAAATCCAGTGCCACGAGCTATAACCCGATAGTCGCATGCTCGGGATGCTCTAGATCATACCATGATAGCTGTCGAAAGCCTCCGCTCGCCCCGGGCACTGATGCGTAAGGTGCTCACACCTTCGTGATAAATAAAGGCTAAAGAAGACAGGCTACAATGGCGATGCTCAGCATGCTTGAGTGATATCGGAACACGTAAACCTTCTAGCGTGTCCCTAGCACCGGCCCCCGCTAGTCACTCTGTCGTGAGAGAATTGTTGAAACCGAGATTCGCCCACCGAGCTCCAAATGCCGCGCCCGATCGCGTCCCAGAGGTCATTCCTGAAAAGCGTGTGGAGCCTGAGATCGCCCTAACCACTCCGAGTGCTGCCATGTCTGTCAACCTGAATAAACCCAAGGATGTTGTGGGCACGTCTCAGCCACTTGAACTAAAGCTGCTCGAGCGTACAGAGATTCCGAACACACCATCACAACGGTCGAGCCAGTTTGACAGTTCTATACCCGAGCATTCATTAGAAAAACTCCCTAACGCCCGTGTGTCCCAACAGGACACTTCTACTCAAGATGATGAGGATGCATTGGCCCTCGATGATCTGAGCCACACCCAAAACCAGGTCCCCTTGACAGCTCTTTGCTCGGGCTGTCGAAAACAGACCGCATTAGTCAAGGCCGGAGAGAAAGATGCTCAGTGGTACGTGGGTACATGTTTTATTCCAGACAAGTCTGATCGATGTATAGTCCCGGTTGTCGCACAAAATTACGTATTGCAGAAACGGGCCGACAAGAGATACCTGAGACTCCGGATGTCGACACCGCTCGTCGTCATGCATCACTCAGACCAACGAGCTCGTCAAATTTGATCAGTCATCCATCAGCTGCAAGATTAGGTAATCATGAAGTGGAAATAGTTTCCTCAACACATGTTCCGCCGATGTCAGAGGATAAGCCTAGTTCAACAACAGCCAAAACCAGCTCCATGCCCTGGTTCGACCCGGATCGGACAAACATCCTGCCGGATATAGGAAAGATTCGTGACGATGATCTGCCTGGACTATCTTCCGCAGATACTCCAGCTCCAGATGTCTTGGTCGCGTCACAAAACACCTCACTTGAGCGGAGTGCGCCGATAGGAATTTGGTCGAATGCTGAAACTCTTGGCCAGAAGACGATTTCAAGACTCAATGAGATAAACCTGGAAAGTTCATCGTCCAACAGCGCATCAGTATCACGGGTCAATCAGCCGCGAGAGCGCTCTGTTCAACCCGCTGAGACGTCAGATCTCGACGACTTAGCAGGAATGTCCGGTCCGCATGTTTTTCGTTCCGGCTCAACACATAGTTCAGATCTGCTGGGAGAAAACGAATCTCGGAATCCGGCATCCACTGTTCCTGAACCTACCCAAGTGGGTACGCACATGTCGCCTAAGCACCCTTCTACCAATGGTTTGCCGGATCGAGCTGCCCCTGCAGCGGCCGAGGAACAAGAGTCAGCGGTTTCAAAGTCGAATGAGACGGTTGAAAGAGATTCCATTATCTCTGAAAGCCCAACCGAAGCACACTCAGGTCCGTCTATACCAACAAAGCGTCACACAAACCGCGATTTAGCTAGGATAGCCTTGGTGTGTGCACAAGGCACAGGTATGACCGCGTTGGAGATAATCGACTGGCTGGCTTTGAGATTCTCCTACTTGAACAAAGGCCAAGGCGCCTGGGAGAAGAGTCTTAAGTCAGTTCTCTCCCATCAACCTGAGTTCTACGGCGTGAAGCCTTCAGGACGGCCATATGAACGGGTTGTGTACAACTTCACCAGCACAGCCAATAGGGCGAAATACGAGGAAGAGTACCACGAGTACCTTCGTTTGGCTCCAGTACCGGGACCCCAGGACGGCCACGGGAATGCCAGGAAGATTACATCACAGCGTGCTGTAGCGGACAATGTCATGCAGAACGAGGAAATCCATGATGAACAGCCAACGCAGATCAAGAGAAGAACTACCCGAGCTATCAAGAGTGCACCAAGCCGCCGGAATGCTATAACTCACGATTCTCTACCGACACCAATGATGGAGGAGGTTACTACAGATGTTGAACCAGGATACAACCCATTCGAGCGTGCTACTGTCTCACGTCCAACAAGGGCGCCTTCCGACGATCTGGAGGCCCAACGCGGAACGGACTTCCGTAGTGCATATTCGCCCAACACAGTGCCCTCCATTGAGACCATGACTTCGGAAGAGAAGGCTGCAAAGATTGAAGAGATCAAGGCCAGGCCATCACGGAAGCAATTCTTTGGCGCGAACTGGCGTTTGGCACACGTGCGAAAATACGGGCGGGAGGATATTCATGATGAAAGCGAAGGTGCATGGAAGCCTCACCACACAACGGAGAGATCGACGGCGGATCGCAACTCTGCTCCGAACGATCGCGATGAGAACCAGTCTTTGTTACAGGTCTTCAATCTTCCGACCAATACTCGCCCTTTCAGTGACGGCAACGAGCTGGTTTTTCGGAATACCACGTTGGTAAGTCACCATACCCAGTCTTTCAGGGTAAGAGAGCAATGAACTGACAATCTTTATAGGTTAATGGTCGACTGCCCCGGTCGCGGCAGGCATATCGAGTGGGCAAAGTGTTTGGGGGAGAGCTCACCATCAACTGAACCATCGGTTCTCGGCGCACTGTATGATCTTTTACCGCATTATACCCTATCGTTCTTGGACTGCAATATGATTATCTTTCCTTACCATCGATTGGGCATGTGTGACCCATACATCCTCTGTGGTGACTAAACATCTTGTCTCCGGCCCTTTACACGACTCTAGAAGCCGATCATGGTTTGATCAAGGACGAGCATGTGGAGCGCACTTGGAACAAACTTCCGTTGCTGACAGACCCTCGCTTGGCGCCCTGTGTACCCGCCAGTCTCGCGCCTTCCATCTCCACTGCAAGCACCCCAAAACAACGACTCCCAGACTGTGGCGCCTCACATTGGACGGACGGGCTACCAACGATTGAAGGCCCGCTTATGTCTTGCCGCCCGCGGTGGTGCAGCCCATGGCGTGCGGATGTTTCTAGCTCTGAAACACGGCCCTTGCGGCTACGCGAGCGCGTTTCAAGGCGTCAACACCAATCATTACGCGACTGCCACACCTCGACCAAACCGCGCCTCATCGGCTGGATGCCAAAACCCCACGTTGACCCTGTACGATGCCTTGCAACAATTTCGCAGCCGAGTCTGCTCGCTGCGAAATGATTGACTGGGCCGCCCTCTCGCAGTGCCGTTCCCGCCGAGTCTAGCGGGGAGCGTTTCACATGGGCCGGTAGTACGGGCGCGACTACGGTCGCTGGAGTCGTTTGGGCCACTCGAAGGTGAGGCGACGAGCCTTCCCAGCGCGATGGTCGATATTGGATTCTATTGTAAGGTTCGCGACTATGGGCAGGTCAGGCTAGCGGCGAATTATGTCCTGAGGCTCCCCTCCTCCTTCACCTTGGGTTCTTGCTTCTCCATTTTACTTCAGTCTTCACGTCTCTATTGTTCGCTATTGTTACTATTGTCGAAGGCGTGCTGCCTTGACGGCGTGGGACACTCCCTTTTAACCTTTATCTTCGTAAACTTAACTTGTTCAATCTATACGCTCCCTCTCTTCTTTACCCCTACGCTCGACGCGACTGCTGGACAGACCAATTGTATCTCTCTACGAACTTGGACGATTCAGTATCCTACGACTCTCACTCTACACGAACGAAATGGCGCTTCTCTCAGCCGAACACCTGGCTGGTCCGGGCTACATCATCCTTAACGTCTTGCGCGGTCTGAACATCATTGCTCTTGCTTCCGTGGTCGCCAGCAGTGTGGTCATGCTGGTGAAGACCTTTATCATCTCCAAGGTACGTCTAGAAATCTACTCTTGAGACTCGCAAAAGCTCACATATGCAGTTCTTCTTCTTCGATGCCACAAGCCATGTGATCACCGCAATTGCCGGACTCTTCTTCATCGTCTCAGAATGCTCGCTATTCCGCAACTTCTACGCCCGCAACTGGCCACTCCTGAGTCCCTCGCATGGCTTCGTCACCCTGGGTTGCGCGATGATGATAGTCGGGCTCAACATGCTCGGTAACATGAACAAGGAAGCCACAAGCCAAGAGTCGCTCACTCTCCCTTTCTGGCGCCTACTCGTTGCCTCTGGCATCCTAGCCATCGTCATCGGCTTCTTCAACATCGTCGCGAGCTTCGTCTTCCGCGACAAGTCTCGGCGAATCACCGCCCGTATGGTCCGCTCTCGAGGAGCCATGACCCTCCACGAGGATACCGAGACGCAATCCCAATACGACCCCAAGCACAAAGCCTTTACCATCACCACGCACCACACAGGCAGCACCTCCTCGCGCAGCAACTTCAACAACAGCCCACCCCCCATGCGCACAGGCACCCCACCCGTCGACTGCGGCTCCCCTCAAGTCCCCTCCCCCACCAAGGAAGACCCAAACCGCCTCTCGCAATTCGACTTCAGCCCCCTCCGCGCCTTCCGCAACGCCCGCCAGTCCTTCCTCCCTTCTTACCACAGCCAGTCACCAGCTAAACCTAGCTTCTTCTCGCACCGCCCCTCCAGCTCCATCTACTCACGCACCACGTCGGGCGAGCCCGCACGGAAGAAGTTCTGGCAGCGCCAGCGCGAGGAGCAGGAGGAGGAGACTGCTCGCATGCCTGAGATCAGCTATCCGTTGAATGTCAACCCGCAGTTTGCTCATCTTGTCAAGCCGAATCTGGCCCATCATCCTAGTGTTAGGAGGCCCGAGGCGGATTACGAGAAGTTCTAGGTGGACTGGACTTGTAGGGGTACGGGGAGAGTTGTGAGGATGGAGTACGATTACTATGATACCACTTTCTTTTTCTTCTTTTCTTTTAAGTTGTTACATCAGCATACTGCTACACGCGGCATTGGCGTTTGGCACATTGAGACTACAATCATTGACGCTCCAGAAAGACGCCTATCTGTCGAGCGAGCTGTCCTTCATTGGAAACGCTACTTTCTTTTCTGGGGTTCTCACTAGCATTCACTCCTCTCTTAGCAATATCTAGTATTGCTATTCCATGACTACGTCTGTCACTGCATCTTAGTGATATGTGATGGGCATATATATTTACATATGGTACACAGCGTGAAAGTTCGCTGATCTTTCCTGACTTGGTGCTTTGCGAAAGTGCTTGTTACCAGCCAGGACGCGGCGAGTTGACAGCCTTTGTAGCCACGATCCTTGAGACGCGCTCATGCAGCGCAAACAAGTTCTGCTCTTCTCCCACAACAACCACAATCTCTCCACCACCCCCTACTCCTCCACAGCAATCGCCTGGAACGGATCAATAGCATTCCCCTGTGGATCATAAAGCTCCAACCTCGTCCCATCCTCCAACGTCAAACTATACTCCTTCGTGTAATACAGCCCACCCCTGCCCCTCCTCCTGCACGTCAGCCTAACCTCGCCCGCCCTCTTCGTCCCCTTGACCCAGAAGCTGATTTCAATGCGCCCATGCAACTGGTTGATCTCGCCCTTGATCCACGGGTATTTACTCGCAAAGTAGATTTCGTCGCCGAGCTGCTCGCGCACGAGCGGGTTTGTGCGCAGCGCGTAGAGGGTTGCGGTTACGACGGAGGATTCTTGCTTTTGGTAGTTGAAGAAGGCGAAGAGGCAGGCGGTCATGGCGAGGATGAAGAGGGGCATCGTTTTGAGGATTTGCG